AGGAAGGCTGTACATGATAAAAATCAATTATCTAAAGAGAATCATATAATATAATGCATCAGCATTTGTTTCTCATTACGTTTAGCATTTTTTTGACACAAAAAATGAATTTTATATGTGATTAATATTACCTTAATTAATGAGCCGTAATTACCTAAATTATTCCTTTAAAACATACCATAAAATTTTATATAATTTTCAAATTTAGTAAAAAATATTATTTTGATGGGAAACAATTAATATTTTAAAAATAATCAAACTTATATATATATATATAGATTAAATAATATCAACAAATTATTTTTACACATCAAATCAACTTTAATTCACTATTCACCATTTCACATAATTTTAACTAACTGTTAATTCCAATCATTTTTTCTCCTACTTTACATCAGATAAACTTTAATTATTTTATTTTAAATATTATTTTAATTTAAATTTAAAATTTTACTAACAATTAACCATACTATTTTTTTCAAAATTAGCTATAATTAATAAAATAAAGTGAAAAAATCAATCAAATTCAAATTCACTCACAACCTTAGTTTTTAATTGGCATAAATATTTACTTAAAAAAAACATATCTTTTGGTAAATTCACCTGCAACACAAACTATATATAGCCTCAACCTAGTTAAATCATTGGTCAACAAAGTATTATTGATATGTGAAAGGGAAAAAAAAGTATTATTGTTAATTTGCTATGTACCATACATATATCAACCAACTCCAAATGAAGCATTTGAGAGCAGTTTAATTTCCATTTTAGGCATGAAAAGATAATGATAATGACATGATTATCATAGATAAATTCAGGCATTTAGTGTAATTAAGTACATGTAATTATGTTTGAGACTATAATATTATTTTACCATTCACGTGTTGAGATGTACAATTTTCCTAAATCTACTTTAGGAAATTTATTATAGTACCAGAAAACAGTCTAGAAAACCACAAATGTAGACCCGGCCGGTCTCAAATTTGGTCCCGACATGGACCGGTAAATATTTTTTAGTAAATAGGACATGGACAGGTCCAATTTCTCATTTTTTTTTTAAAAAAAAATCTTTTAAATATCATATATTTTGTCTAAATTTTGCATAATTGGCCCCATAATTTTCAAACTAGCATCACTTTTTAAAATTAAATCTGAAATTATATTTGCGGAAAATGCTACGGTCGCGTTACAAAATTTTTCCATTGGAGTTTGTAGCCGCCGGATCATCATGTAACTGTCGAGAATAGTTGATCTAACGGTTACAAACCCCGACGGAATGGTTTTATAACGGAACCGTGGCATTAAAAGTAAAAATTAATAAATGAAAACAGCTGGAATTAAATTGATCATAAATTCTTAAATGTGAAGATTGGTTTGGGAGAATTTTATTTATTTATCTATCAAGGCTAAAAATTAAATGATTTAATTTATTGAGATTGTAAGGTGGACCACATTTATGAATTATCATCTATACAGAGAGGCAGCTTTAGCTGATACAGATGAGAATCATCCAAAACAGGGAATATCATTCAGTTTTGCAGGTAAAGCATGGTCTGTGCCACACATTTATTCAATTTATTTTATGTTACTATATAGTTGTGCCTTTTAGAATTTCCATAGTTTAGACTGAAAAATTATGGTAAGAAAAAAAAAAATAAAAATGAAAAGTTTAATAAAGGACAAAAGTTTGATAAAAAAAATGAAATAAAAGAGAAGAAAAAGGACAAATTTCATAAAGGCTCTCACTTTGTTTTGTACATATATTATTTTTTTTATATATCCAAAGTATTTATTTATTTAATTTTTTTATAGTTTGTAACTGGAACTCTTATTTTTGAACACTTCAATATTCCTCCAAATTTCATAAACTAATTTTCAAAATTACCTATTTAAATAATTCCTGATTTAAATATATATATATATATATATATATTATATTTATATATGAATATATAGATGCACTGATATATGTCCTTGCATGGTGTTCCATTAGTATAGCCATTACATGTTGCATCAATGCCCACATGTTCCCTTTACAACATCACACAAATACATACACATTTTTTTTTTTTTTAAATTCAACAAAATTAAGCTATTAATTGATTTTTTTTTTTAATTTTAATTTTCTCATTTGTGCTTCAAATTTCTGCTAGCAATAACTCAACTTGTGGTTTATTTAATTTTAATTATTTAAATTAAGTAATAACAATTATAATAAAATGGGAAAAAAAAAATAATGTAAAATTAATCTACTTCTGTTAAGTGTTTTTTTGCTTACCAATGTGCACACCCTTCTATATATGATCATCAGCCTGCATTTACTGGTTCCTTCAGTGTATCAATCATGCACAAATACATTATAAATTTTTGTGACATATATATGCTCAAAGTGCTTCATTATTCAGTAGGGATTTCAATGTATAATTATGCCAAGATTATTGTTGGGGTTAGAATTAATCATACACAAATTGAAATAGATTTTTTTGTTGACAATTATAACTTATAAAGAAACCATAGTTATAATTTAAATCTCTAAATTCTAGTAATACTTTCATATTCATGAGCTAAAT